CCAGTCACCATCTGTCATTGGCTCCTCCTCAGCCACTCGTCACTGGGACTCTGCTTTGGTCTCCTAGTCCTTCAGTGTCACCAGGTCTCTCAGTCCATTGGACGTCAAGTGGGCCTCATCATCTCCCAGTGTCACCTCAGTCAGTCGGTCTCAAGTTTTCACCTTGGCACCTCCCTCCATCAGTTTTGCCATGGATCGTCTCCCTCATGGCCATCTCTTGTGTCACTGTGGGTGTCGTCTATGTTGTGGTTGTGTTTGCTTGTCTGCCTTTGTTTGGATTTACCTGTGGATATTATTAAAGACTATTTTGGATCTATTTCTTCTTCGTCATGCTCGTCTGTGCTTGTGACAATAGTGGTGTAACTGCCTTATTTGTGATAAGATTATAGTTTTGTGCTGTGGAGGATTACGTTTAAATAGTGTATCTTTTCAATAAGTCTGATAGAGTTGAGTAATCTAGGTCAGCCGAAAAGTAGAGGTGAAATGTATGTATTTCCAGAGATATAATTCTCACATTTATGAGGAGAAATGTAAAATAGAAAATTGAAGGAAACTGATATATAGACAAAAATACTAATAGTTATTTCTGAGATAAAGCAGTATGGGGAAAGTCAAGTGTTGCATTTGTGAAATATTCAGAGTAAGACAACTTGAAGGAAGCAAGAACTGGGTTCGTTCTTATAATAACACTGAGGAGAAATACAGAAGTAGAAAGAAGATATGAAACAGTTCAAATCTGCCATACCGTAATGTTGATCCTCAGAAGTGTACTTACTTGAATAATATTTCATTCTCAGTATAGGATACATAATGAGAAAAGTTATTCTCTGCATGAAATATTTTCTCTGAATAGCCTTTGCTCCTGAAGTATTCACACATGCTTCTTTAAATAGAAATAGTGATGAAACAAAGATGAAACTTTTGTGATTATTCACTCACCTTCATGTTATTAAAAACCTTGAAACACCATGGAACAAATTTTATTTTTAATGAATTGCAAAATGTTCAAGATCCTCTTTTCGTACAATTTTAGGGAATTGTCACCATGGCTGTAAAGTAAGAATGTCAAGACTTTTTAATGAAATATGGCAGCTCTCACTGGCTGCAGGTGGCCACGGCATTATAATTTGTGTCCATCAAGTAAAGCCTTAAGTGGTGTTTTAAAGTTTTATCTGAAGAACGATGCAACGTGGTGTCTATTGGTTACGGGCAGAGTATAATTTTTTTTAGAACTGCGCCATGGCAACAAATGACAATTCATGGTAAACAAGACTAATCTATGATTGTTCCTCGAAATTTACCTTTAAATTTAATTTGGACATAAAGGTCGTTCAAAAAAATGAAAATCCTTTAAAATAGCTAGTTAACAGAGTTGAGCCCCGCTGTCCTCGAGCGAAAAATGACATGGAGTGGCTGCATTTAACGAGGGGAAAGGCAGCACTTTTAAAAATACTGTACTTCGTTTTTAATAGCTATATTTCTCCACAAAGTCTCTGCAAGCACACTCGACGAGTGCACAAATTATATTTACGTGGTATAGGCCTACGCTCTGAAGCCCAGCACTGCGTTAGGAGCCTGTGGGAGGTCGGTGTAATTAGAAGACTTTGTTTAAAAGAAGTAGCCTAGTGTATTTAGAGTTGTATTAGCTCAAATGCAAGTTTAGCACATAGAACGAAACCTTCGCATAAAGAGGAAGAGGGTTCAGAGAGGCAAAGCGTTATTATACTTAGAAACGCAGTGTCACTGGTCCAGAGAATCAGCATAGGGGATTTCTTTCAACACAAAACACTGTTTTACCATCTCTATATAATGGACTGCTGGCAGTTTACCACTTACTTTCTCTGTCTCTCGTGTGGTGTATCATACCTGGAGAATGAAGACCTTCATGAAGACTTCATTGCTGTGTCTGACGCTGTGCTGTGCTCTGCAGCTGAATAACTCAGATGGTGAGTAATCTGTGCTTCTGTTCAATTTTTTTCTCCTTAATGTTTAAAGTGTTAGGCTCCGAATTCAGTTTTCTGCAAAGGAGACTTAATTTAAACAATCTAATCATTTTTTTGTTATTTTTTGTTATCTATTTCTGAAAATATTGGATAACCATTATTTTTTCAGGTTCTACAGCAAGTGAAAGTGAAAACAGTATCTGCTGCTTTGATACAAGTAATACCAGAATACCTCT